CTCTCCATTAGGAGACTCCCACGTCCATCGCTGAGAGTGAGGCTTTTGGAATTGTAAGTTACCATGGATGGTTTGGGTCGTCATGATAAACTCAGACATCCTCTCACCCTGTGCATTCCATTCTAGCACGTGAGTCCCAATGAAAGGTTCTTCAGAAGTCCTCCTAGGTCCAATTTCCGCTCTAAAAGCTCCAACATTGACTTCGAAGAAGGTATGGTCTTCTCCGAAGATTTTTAGAGGTCCGTATAAAACCTTCGCTTCGTCTTCGTCATTGCTTGATGTTGGTGTGTAAGCAACGAAGATGGTCAAAGTCGCCATTGAACCACATCGTTTCAACCGTAATCGTCTGATACGGGTTGTTAGTTGCTCAAACGAATCGATGTTCACGGTCACATTCGATTTGACGAGGACGCCAACGCCGACGAAACCTTTGCTATCGCATGTTCCAAAGAACATTTCTTCTCCAGTGTCATAAACAGCGTGAAAAGGATGGCGCCTTCTCGTCTCAGACAGGCCAGTGACGTCGTACCTTATCCTTCTTGCTTGAATCAATAGATCTTCTGCAGCGGATTAGTGAGCAAGGTTTCTTGCATTGTAGGTACAAATCGTCATTTTAGTCCGTTTCAATCCTGGCAGCCTAGTTTGGCTCTGAGATTTTACCCTCCGTACTCGTCCAACCTGGTGCTGCCGTACCAGGGGCTCTTTCGGGGTCAGGGAAATGAGGCCCATATTTGTTACTGTTTTTGGCATTTTGATACCCAGCGTATAGCTTGCCAGGCTCTAAACGTTGGGACTGGGTACTCACGAGTAGCTTGCCACTCTCCTTCGGAGGAGCGGGAGGAGCTTATTTTTTGGAGGCGACTCCTAACCGCCTCCCATGTACTTCCCTGCCGCTTGATTGCAAGCTTTTGGCCGACTTGACTCGTAGAATTAGAGTTTTTGTCAAGTCGGCGCTGCAGAAGCAGGGAGCTCATCCCCTGAATCCACCTGCGTCTCTGGAAGCACACGGTCGCTTTTGGTTCGCGTTTTATTCCCCTATCCACCACCTGGGGACGCGCCGCGTGCCCTCGCGACTGACCGGGCGGAATCTTTCAAAGAGGGAGGTCCGTGGGTATATAAATATGTATAGATATATACATATCATGCATATGTATATACATATATATGTGCATATATATAGACGTATACATATACGTATATATATATATATATATACATTTATATACTTATATATGTATATACATATCATATCATATATATATGTATATTCACGTGTATGTACATATATATAAACTCGCACAGATTCTTACAGATCCGGAAATATGGGCCTAATTGGCTCAGGGGCAGAGCGTCTGTCTTGTAAAAAGAAGGTCGCTGGTCCGATTCCAGCATGAGGTACAAGTTTTGCACTGCTGTTCACGAAATCGTAACTTGAATTGTGCTTACTTTCTAAAGATATCTTTTCAGATTGTCACCAAATCCGGAAAAGTGGGCCTCGTTGGCTCAGGGCAGAGTGTCTGTCTAGTAAACAGAAGGTCGCTGGTTCGATTCCAGCATAAGGCACCTGTTTTGCGTTTGTGTTCATGAAATCGTGCTTTATTTGAACGTATGAACATAAGTCCCTACACTGACATAGAAGCCTGAGAGGTGTGCCTCATTAGCTCAGGGGCAGAGCGTCTGTCTTGTAAAAAGAAGGTCGCTGGTCCGATTCCAGCATGAGGCATCCGTTTTGCGTTGGTGTTCACGAAATCGTAACTTGAATTGTGCTGACTTTCTAAAGATATCTTTCCAGATTGTCACCATATCCGGAAAAGCGTGCCTCATTGGCTCAGGGGCAGAGCGTCTGTCTAGTAAACAGAAGGTCGCTGGTTCGATTCCAGCATGAGGCATCCGTTTTGCGTTGGTGTTCATGAAATCGTGCTTTATTCTGAACGAGTTTGAACATAAGTCCTTACACTGATATGGAAGCTGAAGAGGCGTGCCTCATTAGCGCAGGAGCAGCGCATCTGTCTGTAAATGTAAGGTCGCTGGTTCAATTCCAGCATGAGGCACTTGTTTTGGATTGGTGTTCGTAAAATCGTACTTTATTTTACACGAGTTTGAATATAAACCCCTACACCGTCATGGGGGCTAGCGAACTATGCCTCGTTGGCTCAGGGGCACAGCGCCTGTCTTGTAAACAGAAGGTCGCTGATTCGATTCCAGCATGGGGCAGGCTATTACATGCGTTCTCACAGTTTTGATTCTAATTAATTTCCTCAGTATATTTCCACAGATTAAGAGAGAGAAAGGAAAAGCATGCCGCATTGGCTTAGGAGCAGAGCGTCTGTCTGATTATCAGTAGGTTACTAGGTCGTTCCCTGCACGAAGCATAGGTTTTGCGCTGCTGGTCGCGAGGTCGTGCTTTAATTCTACTGGAATTCTGAAAATATTTTGCTAGTCCAATAATCTGCCTCATAGAAGAATCTCTCTCCAGGTGATCGTCACATCCCCAAATGGTGGAGAGCGAATTAATCGCAGCTCAAAAGCGACCAAATTCTTCTCTGATGTGAAAGTGGCTTCATAGGATAGTCTCTTTGTTTCTGCAGCGTCAGTTTGTCGTGCTTCGGTCTCTGGAAGTCAAATTCACTAAAGGCGTGTAATGAGGAAACTTGAAAGTACATAAGAGACGATTAAGGGTCGCATTCAATAAAGAGAGGCTGAAGGTTACTCATGAGTATACTCAGCTGTCATGCATAGAGCTCACCAAGATATTCCTTGATGCCGAAAACCAAACGCAGCAAGAAAGGTACTTTTCCGTTATCCGTACCCTGTTTCGACTTCTTGAAAAAAAAATGTACTTTCTGGTTGTTTTTGATGCCTCAGAAGTCATTCATAGTTCGAATCGATAAAGTGTGTGATGTAATTCCTTTTCAAAATGGCTTTATTATTGTGCTATAATAACAAAATTTAAATTATGTTTCTCATTTGAACTTTTTTCATTGTAAAAATCTATTTCCTTAGAGTATCAATAACTATTCGATAGATCAATTTTCGCTGTTCCCAATGATGCTTGTGGTTTTTGAAAGGAACTTCTTGGTACACTGCAACTTTAATAAGAAGATTGTGTTTTGCTAATCTGGCGTTGGAACAACCACAGTGGCTTAGCGGCCCTGTTGCGGGATCCCTATCCACATACCGTTGAAAGCACGGTGGTTTGGTGTCGATGTTGCGCAGTGCGAAATTTGATATTATTTTGGCTGCTATTACGCATTAGAAAGACCTTTTCAGAAGCCAAGCACAGTATTGGAATCGACGAGATTTGAGCTACTGAATGGTATCTAGAAATCTAAAGGAAAAGCTCTGTTCAGCAAGAAACATTTGAATGAGAAAAATCAATTTTTTTTATGATGTTAGAGTACAGTGGTGAATCTATATCGAAAGCAAAATACACCATTGGAATCTTTGAGATCTGAGATAATAGGTAATTTTTGAAACTAGAGAAAAAAGCAAAAGTCGCGTTTTTCTTGAAGGGTTGGAAAAATGCGGATGACGAGAATAATCTAAATTTGCGAAACCCAATCTTCTTCTGGCTGCTACTGCGCACTAAGAAGTCCCTTTCAAAAACCACAACATCATTGTAATTCTTAAGCAAGAAATAGCCTTGTTCATCAAAAAATGTTTGGATGAGATTTGAAATTTTATATTTCTCTTTCATCATAGTAACAGAGCCATTTTGAAAATAGAATACGCCATTCAAATTCTTTTGATTCAAACTATAGAACGATTACTAGAAGCTTATAAAAGCCTAAAAACTGCGTTTTTTCTGAGGGGTCGGAATGAGGTTGAATAACGGAAAAGTGCCACAAAAAAAAAATAGCTGAAATAATTCCTCCTATCCAAAAACCTTCCGATGCGGCAATGCCGTGTAGAACGAGTACGGAATCTTCGAAAAAAAAAATCTCGGAGATAAGTTGCCAGAATTGCAATGGACTATGGGAGTGATCTGTCGTACAACGCACGTCCTCATGCATACTTCTTTATAAGGGAACGCTTATATAGAGAAGTTGGATAAGATACAACATCATGGACCTAGCTAAGACGAGGAGATGAGAGGAAAGCCTCCCATTTCACGTTGACTGCGGCAGAGTCAGATCTATATCTCCATGTGGGTTTCAAATAGCTTTCAGAAAACACTACATTCAGTAGGGGCATGGAAGCTTCAACGCGAAAGTTGGGCCTAAAAGTACATTTGAAGATTGGGGCAGTGAGCCCACGGACTGGAAGAGAACGAAGAGGGTAAGAGCTTGTCTACATTTATCACGGCAGCCAAGAGAAATCAATGTGAAACAATTGAAGGACCGTAACCGCAGAGGCAGACCTGGAAGTTTTCCAGGAGAAAGTCCCTTAATGAAGTGAACCACATTTTGTCACATCGAAGGTTGCGCCTAACCGTTATCGTTATTGCTCCAGAATTCTACACTGGATCAAGCCATCTACTCCCTTATGCAACATTCGGTTTTTCCCAAGAACAAGAAAGCCGCTAAATTTGAACAACGAAATTCCGCAACTACCGTAAACTGAGCTATGACTCCTGGGAATATACCGTCATAAACAACACTGACGGGTATGAGAACCTCATCTAACATCTGAACGTCAGTTCTGTGAAAGCCGGGAGTCCCAAGGTAAGCAAGAGACGTTTGTTCCTACAAAAACACAACCTGATACACCAACGTGGAATCGCGCAACTGCAGGCAACCAAAACCTCTCGTCCAAACTTATAAAACGCACCAGCAAAGCGATAAAAAATCTCATACAGAGAAGAGCAGCACTCATGGGGATAGTCGTAGAAGCTGAAAGGAGCATTCGGGAAGCCCACTGAAGCTAGGCCAATCATAGTAATAAGACGATTGCCTTCCAGCGCACTAATGAAACAAGCAAGGCTTTCATTAAGTACTGTAGGCTTAGGATCAAACTCGTCTAAAATAAAGCACGACTTCATGAAATCAATGCAAAACGGATGCCACATACAGGAATCGGACCAGGGACCTTTTGTTTACAACACAGACGCTCTGCCTCTGAGCTAATGAGGCACGCCTTTCAGGCTTCTATGTCAGTGTGGGGCTTATGTTCAGAACTCGTTCAAAATAAAGTACGATTTCATGAGCAGTAACGCAAAACAGATGCCTCATGCTGGAATCGAACCAGCGACCTTCTGTTTACTAGACAGACGCTCTGCCCCTGAGCCAATGAGGCACGAATTTTAGGCTTTATGTCTATGTGAGGGCTTATGTTCAAACTCGTTCAAAATAAAGTACGATTTCATGAGCAATAACGCAAAACAGATGCCTCATGCTGGAATCGAACCAGGACCTTCTGTTTACTAGACAGACGCTCTGCCCCTGAGCCAATGAGGCACGCTTTCAGGCTTTTATGTCAGTGTAGGGGTTTATGTTCGTACTCGCTCAAAATAAAGGCACGATTTCTATGAGACGACCAATACACGCAAAACACGGATGCCACATGCTGGAATCGAACCAGCGACCTTCTGTTTACAAGACAGACGCTCTGCCCCTGAGTCAATGAGGCACGACTTTTAGGCTTTCATGTCAGTGTAGGGGCTTATGTTCGTACTCGTTCAAATAAAGCACGATTTCTTGAACACCAACACAAAACGGATGCCACATGCTGGAATCGAACCAGCGACCTTCTGTTTACAAGACAGACGCTCTGCCCCTGAGTCAATGAGGCACGAATTTTAGGCTTTCATGTCAGTGTAGGGGCTTATGTTCGTACTCGTTCAAATAAAGCACGATTTCTTGAAAACCAACACAAAACGGATGCCACATGCTGGAATCGAACCAGCGACCTTCTGTTTACAAGACAGACGCTCTGCCCCTGAGCCAATGAGGCACGCTTTCAGGCTTTTATGTCAGTGTAGGGGTTTATGTTCGTACTCGCTCAAATAAAGCACGATTTCTTGAACACCAACACAAAACGGATGCCACATGCTGGAATCGAACCAGCGACCTTCTGTTTACAAGACAGACGCTCTGCCCCTGAGCCAATGAGGCACGAATTTTAGGCTTTATGTCTAGTGTGAGGGCTTATGTTCAAACTCGTTCAAAATAAAGTACGATTTCATGAGCAATAACGCAAAACAGATGCCTCATGCTGGAATCGAACCAGCGACCTTCTGTTTACTAGACAGACGCTCTGCCCCTGAGCCAATGAGGCACGCCTTTTAGGCTTTCATGTCAGTGTAGGGGTTTATGTTCGTACTCGCTCAAATAAAGCACGATTTCTTGAACACCAACACAAAACGGATGCCACATGCTGGAATCGAACCAGCGACCTTCTGTTTACAAGACAGACGCTCTGCCCCTGAGTCAATGAGGCACGAATTTTAGGCTTTCATGTCAGTGTAGGGGCTTATGTTCGTACTCGTTCAAATAAAGCACGATTTCTTGAACACCAACACAAAACGGATGCCACATGCTGGAATCGAACCAGCGACCTTCTGTTTACAAGACAGACGCTCTGCCCCTGAGCCAATGAGGCACCGCTTTCAGGCTTTCATGTCAGTGTAGGGGCTTATGTTCGTACTCGTTCAAATAAAGCACGATTTCTTGAACACCAACACAAAACGGATGCCACATGCTGGAATCGAACCAGCGACCTTCTGTTTACAAGACAGACGCTCTGCCCCTGAGCCAATGAGGCACGAATTTTAGGCTTTCATGTCAGTGTAGGGGCTTATGTTCGTACTCGTTCAAATAAAGCACGATTTCTTGAACACCAACACAAAACGGATGCCACATGCTGGAATCGAACCAGCGACCTTCTGTTTACAAGACAGACGCTCTGCCCCTGAGCCAATGAGGCACGAATTTAGGCTTTCATGTCAGTGTAGGGGCTTATGTTCGTACTCGTTCAAATAAAGCACGATTTCTTGAACACCAACACAAAACGGATGCCACATGCTGGAATCGAACCAGCGACCTTCTGTTTACAAGACAGACGCTCTGCCCCTGAGCCAATGAGGCACGCTTTTAGGCTTTCATGTCAGTGTAGGGGCTTATGTTCGTACTCGTTCAAATAAAGCACGATTTCTTGAACACCAACACAAAACGGATGCCACATGCTGGAATCGAACCAGCGACCTTCTGTTTACAAGACAGACGCTCTGCCCCTGAGCCAATGAGGCACGCTTTCAGGCTTTTATGTCAGTGTAGGGGTTTATGTTCGTACTCGTTCAAATAAAGCACGATTTCTTGAACACCAACACAAACGGATGCCACATGCTGGAATCGAACCAGCGACCTTCTGTTTACAAGACAGACGCTCTGCCCCTGAGCCAATGAGGCACGACTTTTAGGCTTTCATGTCAGTGTAGGGGCTTATGTTCGTACTCGTTCAAATAAAGCACGATTTCTTGAACACCAACACAAAACGGATGCCACATGCTGGAATCGAACCAGCGACCTTCTGTTTACAAGACAGACGCTCTGCCCCTGAGCCAATGAGGCACGAATTTTAGGCTTTCATGTCAGTGTAGGGGCTTATGTTCGTACTCGTTCAAATAAAGCACGATTTCTTGAACACCAACACAAAACGGATGCCACATGCTGGAATCGAACCAGCGACCTTCTGTTTACAAGACAGACGCTCTGCCCCTGAGCCAATGAGGCACGCTTTCAGGCTTTATGTCAGTGTAGGGGTTTATGTTCGTACTCGCTCAAATAAAGCACGATTTCTTGAACACCAACACAAAACGGATGCCACATGCTGGAATCGAACCAGCGACCTTCTGTTTACAAGACAGACGCTCTGCCCCTGAGCCAATGAGGCACGAATTTTAGGCTTTATGTCAGTGTGAGGGCTTATGTTCAAACTCGTTCAAAATAAAGTACGATTTCATGAGCAATAACGCAAAACAGATGCCTCATGCTGGAATCGAACCAGCGACCTTCTGTTTACTAGACAGACGCTCTGCCCCTGAGCCAATGAGGCACGCCTTTTAGGCTTTCATGTCAGTGTAGGGGTTTATGTTCGTACTCGCTCAAATAAAGCACGATTTCTTGAACACCAACACAAAACGGATGCCACATGCTGGAATCGAACCAGCGACCTTCTGTTTACAAGACAGACGCTCTGCCCCTGAGCCAATGAGGCACGCATTTTAGGCTTTCATGTCAGTGTAGGGGCTTATGTTCGTACTCGTTCAAATAAAGCACGATTTCTTGAACACCAACACAAAACGGATGCCACATGCTGGAATCGAACCAGCGACCTTCTGTTTACAAGACAGACGCTCTGCCCCTGAGCCAATGAGGCACGCATTTCAGGCTTTCATGTCAGTGTAGGGGCTTATGTTCGTACTCGTTCAAATAAAGCACGATTTCTTGAACACCAACACAAAACGGATGCCACATGCTGGAATCGAACCAGCGACCTTCTGTTTACAAGACAGACGCTCTGCCCCTGAGCCAATGAGGCACGACTTTTAGGCTTTCATGTCAGTGTAGGGGCTTATGTTCGTACTCGTTCAAATAAAGCACGATTTCTTGAACACCAACACAAAACGGATGCCACATGCTGGAATCGAACCAGCGACCTTCTGTTTACAAGACAGACGCTCTGCCCCTGAGCCAATGAGGCACGCATTTAGGCTTTCATGTCAGTGTAGGGGCTTATGTTCGTACTCGTTCAAATAAAGCACGATTTCTTGAACACCAACACAAAACGGATGCCACATGCTGGAATCGAACCAGCGACCTTCTGTTTACAAGACAGACGCTCTGCCCCTGAGCCAATGAGGCACGCTTTTAGGCTTTATGTCAGTGTAGGGGCTTATGTTCGTACTCGCTCAAATAAAGCACGATTTCTTGAACACCAACACAAAACGGATGCCACATGCTGGAATCGAACCAGCGACCTTCTGTTTACAAGACAGACGCTCTGCCCCTGAGCCAATGAGGCACGCATTTTAGGCTTTCATGTCAGTGTAGGGGCTTATGTTCGTACTCGTTCAAATAAAGCACGATTTCTTGAACACCAACACAAAACGGATGCCACATGCTGGAATCGAACCAGCGACCTTCTGTTTACAAGACAGACGCTCTGCCCCTGAGCCAATGAGGCACGCTTTCAGGCTTTTATGTCAGTGTAGGGGTTTATGTTCGTACTCGCTCAAATAAAGCACGATTTCTTGAACACCAACACAAAACGGATGCCACATGCTGGAATCGAACCAGCGACCTTCTGTTTACAAGACAGACGCTCTGCCCCTGAGCCAATGAGGCACGACTTTTAGGCTTTATGTCAGTGTGAGGGCTTATGTTCGAACTCGTTCAAAATAAAGCACGATTTCATGAGCAATAACGCAAAACAGATGCCACATGCTGGAATCGAACCAGCGACCTTCTGTTTACAAGACAGACGCTCTGCCCCTGAGCCAATGAGGCACGCTTTTAGGCTTTTATGTCAGTGTAGGGGTTTATGTTCGTACTCGCTCAAATAAAGCACGATTTCTTGAACACCAACACAAAACGGATGCCACATGCTGGAATCGAACCAGCGACCTTCTGTTTACAAGACAGACGCTCTGCCCCTGAGCCAATGAGGCACCCTTTTAGGCTTTCATGTCAGTGTAGGGGCTTATGTTCGTACTCGTTCAAATAAAGCACGATTTCTTGAACACCAACACAAAACGGATGCCACATGCTGGAATCGAACCAGCGACCTTCTGTTTACAAGACAGACGCTCTGCCCCTGAGCCAATGAGGCACGCCTTTTAGGCTTTCATGTCAGTGTAGGGGCTTATGTTCGTACTCGTTCAAATAAAGCACGATTTCTTGAACACCAACACAAAACGGATGCCACATGCTGGAATCGAACCAGCGACCTTCTGTTTACAAGACAGACGCTCTGCCCCTGAGCCAATGAGGCACGCCTTTTAGGCTTTCATGTCAGTGTAGGGGCTTATGTTCGTACTCGTTCAAATAAAGCACGATTTCTTGAACACCAACACAAAACGGATGCCACATGCTGGAATCGAACCAGCGACCTTCTGTTTACAAGACAGACGCTC